ATATAAACCAATCAAGGGTGGGTGGGGGAGGCGGAGGGGAGGCGGAGGGGAGGCGGAGGGGAGGCGGTGGGGAGGTGGAGGGGTGGAGGGGGACGTCATCAGTGGCAGCCATCTCCTATCTGAATCAATTCAGGAGCAGACATCAACCGCTTCTCCCAGTCTTATTCTCATCTGAGACCGTCCAGTCTGTGATGTATCTTGCTGACCTTGACTAGATAACAAGCCCTTGTCCAGTCTGGATCCCCAGTGGCCTGCGTTACGAAGACGATCTTCCCACCATTCAAATCCTTTGCTACCACGCTCTAGCATACCCTTCATACACACCACCTCTCCTCCCACGACAACTACTATCCGCGCCTTCTCAACATCTCCCACCCCCTTCGCAAAGAAAACCTACCAACTTAAACGCCTCGCCAAAGCAAAAAAGCTCCTAAAGAACATAGACACATCAAGATCCACAGACGCATTCGGCGTCCAACAGTTTCTAGGAGACGTCGAAGCACCGAATGAATCCGAAAACCTCCTGAGGGATATCGAGAAGAAGATTGCGAACCTACATCGTCGCATCGTCGAGGTGGAGAAGGGGACGCCGCTTGCTTCTGGTTCTGGTTCTGCATTCCAGGTGCCCGCCCCACCAGTATTGCCGGGAGTGCGTGTGGCTGATGCTTTCGATGCCGTTGGCACCGCTGTTAGCAACGATGCCAAGGGACCGAGAAAAAGGAGAGGCAAAAATGAGCGCGAGCGAGCGCGAAGACGCGAACAAGAAAGACACCGGAATGAGAAGATGAAGGAACTTGGTGTGCTGCTGAAACAATATAAAGAACAAGCCGAGGTTGTTAAAGGGGAAGCAGAGAAAACGGCTGAGATGCGGAAGAGGAGGGAAGAAGTATTAGCGAAAAAACGCGCACTACTTCAACAACTTAACGCACATGAAGAGGAGGAGCGCAGGGCTAGTCTTGTCAAGAGGACGGGGATGGCGAAAAGAGAGGGTGGGTTGGCGGAGGGATTTGAGCTTGATGAGGTACTCGATGATGCGATGAAGAAGGTAAAGAGGCAGCCGATGCATCCGCCGAGGGAAGAAAGAGAGTATAAAGAGAGGGAGGTGAAGGATGTGGATGTGCCGAGGGCGAAGAGGCTTGTGAGACCGGCGGGGACGGGGGCTGTGAGTGTGCTGAAGAGGGGTGGGGATGGGGATGAGGTGGTGGGGGATCCGATTATGGAGAGGGAACGAGCTGATGCTAGGGAAATTCTCACGACTGAATTGGGTCAGGAACAGACACAGACGACTGCCAGCAAACCAAGCAACAAGCCCTCTGTAGAAGAGCTAGTTCACGCGGCTGCCAACGACTTTACGAGTTCAGTCGCAAACGCAGGAGATCCCTTCCCTCTCGCCTCCGTCCAACAAAAGCCATCAACCAAAGCCAGCAAACCCATCAAGAAAGATACCCCCCGCTCACCATTATCACCACCGTCCTCCAAGGATGACTTGCGTCTCAACATCCCTCCCTCAGGCATCGTCCCCATCGACGCCGACTTAATCCTCTCCCTCGACTCCCCCGTCCCAGCCCTCCAATCCCAAGTCCTCGCCCTCCGCAACCGCCTAAAATCCTCCTACCCCCGCATCGACAACCTCCCCTACGACGTCTGGACATCGTCCAATAAACGCACCCTGCAAACCTGGCTTAAAATCCTCATCAGCCGGTGGAACGCGCGCTTCGATGATGTGGACGGCACGGGTCAGGTTGATAAAAGTGTTGTGGATGAGAGGGTCAAGGAGGTACTGGATAGTATGGTGAGGGAACATGATTTGGGGAATGAGGCGGCGGAACGTATGGCGATGAGGTGGCATGAGGCGTTTGAGCGGAGGGGGGATATGTGGGGGGATGCGGAGGGGAGGTTGGATTGGGAGGAGATGCAGGCGGGGGGGTTGGGGTTTTTGGGTGTTGAGAGGGAGGATGGTGGGGTTGAGGTGCCAGTTCTGAAGCAAGAGGTGGGCAAGACTAGTGAGGAGGTGGATGTCGAGAAGAAGATTGAGCCTGCGCCTGTGAGGATGGCGGGGAGTGGCGTAACGACGCCCGGGGCCATGGGGCGGAGGATGTATTCGACGTCGACGAGGAGGAGGTTTTGGTCTTGGTCCAGGATTTTGGGGACGGAGGGGAAAGACGAAAAGAACGAGAAGAAAAAGGATTTGAAGCAGCGTTATAGGACAGACGCCATACCAGACAGCACGACTCAGTCCAAGCCCGCTGCTACACCAAACGCCAAACCAGTCGCGAAGATCGATACAAAAATGCACGAAAAGACCCACGTCCAATCAATCGCCAAACCAGACGTCAAGCCCGACCCAAAGACCCAAGCGAAGCGCTCCGCAGACGCCGTCCCACCAAAGCCCGATGTCAAAGCAGACGCCAAATCAGACGCAAAAGCAGACACAAAAGATGACGCCAAACCCCACCCTCCAAAAAACATAGAGTACTTACCTCGGATGCATCGGCCTTTCGGTCAGGGCGTAAGTCGTACCGTCTTGCGGAAAAAGAGGAGGCAAGCTAAGAAGATAGAGGATGAGAGAGGAATGACTGGGGCACTGAAGTGGCAAGGAGAGGGTGGGGAGAGTGGAGAGAGAGGGGTGGAAGTACAAGAGCAGGGAAGAGAAGATGAGAAGAGACAGTTGGACGCACATGAACGTGCAGAAACCACATCACTGCAACGCCGGGTAGACAAAATTGACAAGGCTGAGGAAAGCCTGTCTAAAGCCGTGCTACGGCACCATCAGATCGTGCCTGGACAAGACGCAGACACCGAAAAACCCGCGTTTGCACGCGTCAAGAGACCCCTACAGTCCCTGTCTGAACCCAGACGCTCGAGACACATCGAACTCGCGAGAACTGAGCGAGCTGAACTCCCTGTGCTGCCCAAACAGCCCGGACCGCCTAAATGGACTGTAAAGCCTTCTTCTCCGCAAGACTTCCTGGATAGCATGAATGAGGTCGCTGCTCATTCGCCTTTTGAGGCGGAACCGAGACAGCAGCAACAGCAACAGCAGGCACGTCCTTTGTCGGTTCTGGAGGGACGGAAGGATCTACCACCTCAACAACGATCATCATCATCTCAACAACTTTCTCCACAGACCAAACCTACCTCCTCACCCTCCTCACTATCCCAACCGCCACCATCCCTCCCCCACCTCACCCCCTCCGGATCCGCACACATGGTCTCGGTATCCGCCAAGGAATACACCACCCGCACCGCCATCGCCGTCGGAACCGTGTATTTCACCAACGCCGTGCCCCTCCGCCTCATCGCGTCAAACGCCGTCAAGAAAGGAGACGTACTATCCACCTCACGCATAGCCGGCATAATGGCCGCGAAAAAATGCCCGGATTTAATCCCACTATGCCATCCCATCGCTCTAACCCACGTTAGCGTTGAACTACGACTTTTTGGTGATAAGTGGGATCCGCGGATGACGGGGAAGGAAGGGGAGATGGGAAAGGAAGGGGAGAGCAGGGAGGAGTTGGAGGGAAATAGGAAGGGGAAGGGGAAGATGGGTTTTGGGGGTGTGAACATCGAAGCCAAAGTCCAATGTACAGGCCCCACGGGTGTGGAGATGGAGGCGCTTACTGCGGTTATGGGCGCGGCGCTTAGTGTGGTGGATATGTGTAAGGCGGTGGATAGGGCGCAGAGGGTGAGTGGTGTTAGGGTTGTAATGAAGGAGGGGGGAAGGAGTGGGGAGTGGAGGGAGGAAGGGTGGAGGAGTTGGCAGGAATGAGTGGGGTTGGAGATGGGGAACAAGTGTGTGATGACGGGGATGTAAGATTTTGGGGATGATAATGAGGATGTCTGTGTGAGGACGATCGTTTTCACGTTTTCTACTGTTATATGAATAGAGGTTTTTAAATCCTGCAGCGACAGCACTACCTTGGTGCACTCTTTCTACCCTATAGGAAAAGCTGCGCTGCTACAGACTACCACAAGCACTACTGCGCGCTAGTTGCCAAAATCGCAATGTCACCAACCGCAAAAGAATAAACGCAAAAAACGCATGCAAGCAATTAGACCCCCCCAAACAGCTTTAGCTATCGCAGAACCGTCAAAGACGTCCGTCATCGACACCTCTCAAAGTCCAGTAACTCCACACTTCTAGCCCTGACCGCTACAACTCACGTTCCTCTTCTTCCCTGTCATCCCACGCCTTCCTAAACGACTCAAAACTCCTCGCCCTCGTCCTCTCGCTCCCCATTCCGTTCTCTACACTACCCTCCTTCTCTGTATTAGAAGCCTGACTCCTCCTCCGCTTACTCTCCCGCTCAATAGCACCCTCGACGTAAACGTCACTGTGTCGCTTTCGCATAAGCGGCCCAACGACATGAGGCGGCGCGATGACGAAGCTGGCCTCGCCGAACGCGGGGTCGGGCTTTGTGAAGACGCGTTTATGCGGCGTTGGTGATGGATATGATGGGGAGGGGGGTTTAGAGTTGGGGAGATAGGCGAAGGACGAGGCGTTTGGATCAGTGGCGTCGTCGGACGAAGAAGACGGGGAGGGGGTAGAGAATGGCGAGCGACGCTTTGTGCCACGGGTAGAGGGTGTGATGGGTTCGCGGTGAGTTTCTAGGGACGTCTTGCGCTTCTTGTTGGTAGGAGGTGCGGTATCGTGGTTCTCGTCCTCACCCGCAGATGCGTCGTTTCGCGCATGCTTACGCTCCCCCGGTGTATCCCCGTTCAATCGAGTTTGCGCATCGTTCGTCTCATCCGCCGCATCCTCGTCCCTAGCCCTCTTCTCATGCGTGTTCACCTCCTCCTCTCTCTCCCTCCTCCTCCTCTCACGCTGCTTACGCTCATGCCGCTCCTGCATATCGCGCACAATCTCCTCAATAGTATCATGACCCGTCGGATCAGGATTCTCCGCCGCCTCACACGCACGCGCAAAATCCGGCGGGTAGAGAAACCCAGCTACAGCCTCCGTGACACCGTTCTTGAGTTCCGGTGCAGCACGAACAACCGCTTCGACACAGCAAGCCAGGAATTTCACATCTTTCGGCTTCCTGAACTCCCTCAGTCTCATCGAGTCCGCGGGCTGGAAAGATCCTGTGAGGATGTTGCGGACGATGTCGTTGCAGGTTGGGCATTTGAACTGCTTGTGGGTGTGGTCTTGCTTTTTGCAGTTGCCGCCGCAGGGCTCGGTGCTGGCGATCCAGTGGCCGCAGAGGAGGAGGTGAGTGACTTGGTTGCTGCAGCGTTTCATGCCGGGGTACTCGGGGATGAAGTGGCGGCTACCGCGGAATGTACCCATGTAGCCGACTGGGAGGGCGTTCTCGGGGATGTCTTCTTCAATGACAATCTCGTCTAGCCAGTTTGGCAAGGGCTCTGATGGGGGTGTCGTCTGTTGGCGGTCTTGTTGGCGCGGTGGTGGGGAAGGAATACGGTCGTCATGTTCCGGAGATGTAGGTGGTGTGGTGTCATTGTGCGACTCGCGAGTGTCGTCGTCTACGGCGGTTGCGCTGTGAACGTCTTCTTGGGCTGGTGTCTCGACCGAAGGTCGGATATCATCACCATCACGGGCTGGTGTTATTGGAGGCGTCAGAGGCGACATCGGCGTAGCATCTGGCATGTCGATGTCGTCCGATGTGGTAGAAGCGTCGTCAGTGGCGTTGCCAGTCGGCGCACTGAACATGGGAAATGGCGGTGGCGAGATGTTGCTCATCCTCGATGTAGACGTGTTGGTGTTCTTCACTTGTGAGAACAGGTATGCTGATAGCGCAGCATTGGGCGGCGGAGACGGTGTGGTGTTGAACACGCCGCTCGCGTACCGTGTAGGAGGTGCGGCGTGATTGCAGGCGGCCCGGTACGCTGTGCTCTCAGTCGCTACATCCTTGGTTGATGCGTCGTTGGACGATGTGGTGACGTTCGCATCGGCGGCGCTCCAGAAACTTAAGAGCTTGCGGATGGGATTAAACATCTTTGCTATCGGCGAGTGGCTTTCTTGTGAAACTATGTCTGCGATAGGGTTGATGTGCGTGGAAAGCGTATCGGAAAGGGTAGTGAGAGTGGAACAGTGTTGTGAACAAGAGGTCGAGATATGGTGCATAAGGCGCGGAAGCTTTAGCGTCGTCAACAACATTGCCAAGAGTAGTGAATGTGGCGGTTCGACTCTTGCATATGACGTTGTGTCAATACTATTGTGGGAGAGTTAGTTCGTGCTTTCACTAAATGCGTCGTGACGGAGCATAATCCAGGCTTGTTGCAACAGGAAAGACATTGCATTGCGCAAGGGTATACACATGCAATAATTCTATATGCAGCCGCTTGAACTATTTGGTGATATCGTCACCAGGGACTTTGGAATGCTGAAGAGAAGCACCATTTGGCTCGTTGCTCTGCATAGCTTCCAAGATTTCGAGATCAACATCCGCTCGAGGTCCAGTAAAGTTCTTGCGCCCGTCGATGAACCATTGAAAGGTACTAATGAACAGTATGATGCCGAAAGCAACGACGCAGTAGTCTAGCGTTGTTAGTCAGGTCCAAGCAAACTCATACTGAAACTTACTCATGCTGGACGCTGAGACAGGGAGCTCAGGCGGGAAAAGGAACAGAACGGTGGTGATGATTGTGTATGCGATACCGATCAAGTTGGCGATCCAGCCCAATGGTCCAGGTAGAACGAAGGCCCTAGGTCCAAGCATCTTTCTGCCGCGGCAGACGTTGATTGCGACGGGAATGGCGTAGCTGACGCCCAAGGCGACGACTGAGGATGAGATGAGAGCGTTGAAAGCGCTACTGGACCCGATCAAGATCAATCCAAACAGGATGGTTAGGGTCGCAGCCAGGATCAGAGCATTGAGCGGTTGGCCGAGTCGTGGATGTACCTTGGCGAAAACCCTGGAGAATGGAAGGCCACCATCTCGAGCGAATGCATATGTCATGCGACTAGAGGTAGTCATGATGGCAATCTCCGCGAAGAGAATGCAGATCAATGGGAACATTAAGAGGCATGCGGCTCCAGCTTTGCTGCTTGTGGCGTTGTACAAGATTTGTAGAAGTGGGCCAGGAGCTGCAGAGATGATGGCTTCCGCGTCGCCGCCGGACACGAATAGCAGGACCATGAGGAAGATGAAGCCGGTGACAGTTCCGATACAGACGCAGTAGATCATGATCTTTGGGCCCTCGACTGACGCATTCGGAATCTCTTCAATCATATGCGCGACAGCATCGTAGCCGGTGAGTCCGAAACCGCCCTGGAGTAGGCCCAAGAGCCAGGCGACGCCGTCGGGCCATCCCGTCTCGTTGATGAACTCGGTGAAGACAAACTCGGCGGAAGCGTAGTTAGGAGATGAGCATGCCAGGGCTGTAATGCAGACAATCGCAAAGCCGCCGATAGACCAGATGAATGCGCCTCGATTAACGTAGGGGAGGAGGTTGTTCATGAACGCATTGATGACGAAGGCGATGAGAGTCCAAGCGACATAAATCAGCCAGACCTGCCATGCGTGCAGCGTGAACTCAGGGTGGAACAACGCGATGAGACCGGATATGAGTTGGGACGCGAGGAGGCCTCCGGAGGTAGTCAAGGCGAGCCATCCGGATACGTTGATCCAGCCGGTGATGAAAGAAGCGAGGGGAACCCATTTCCGCGGGGTAATGACGGCAACCCAATGGTATCTGCGATGCGTGAGTTGACGATGCGAAAGCTGACTGAAGGTACTTACTGTCCACCAGCAGTAGGATACGCTGACAGGAACTCGGCCAGCGATGCGGCCAAACACAAGTTACAGATGCCAGCGGTGACGAGTCCCCAGATGACGCTTGTAGAGCCACCAGATGGCAAAGCCAGTCCGATTGACGATGACAGCGCAGTCCACGAGTTCAAGATGGCGAAAGCGAGTCCAAGCATAGACAAAAGACTGAAGTTGCGCTTCAACTCGCCTTTGTGTCCGAGTGCCTGCAACTGGGCTTCATCGTCCAGAGTGTGCCGTTCAACGGGTTTCATGATGGCGTATGCAGGTAGCTACCAGATCCGCGCGACGTGATACCAATGACCGGAAGACGATGATGGAGCAGACACTCTCTATAAACACATGGACGTGAAGATGCGATCCGGAAGGATGCGCGAAGCCGTGCTCTTAGCCATGCGGCCATTGACGTCGGCTGCACCGAACAGGCATGGCGACCAGGTCAGTGGAAGCTTGTCAATGCTTACTTGTGGTTCATCCACAGATAAGAGGCCCGGTGGTGGTGTCCACAGGAGCCAAAACATGGGGTAGAAGCCAATCAGGCGCCATAGCGACGACTATCTCGCGCTGACGGAACGGCGTTACATCGCGCAATTGCACACAGGCCTAACTGGTGTCGGCAAGCGGACGCGACCGTATCTAGCCGGAGATTGCGCGTCAAGAGCGTGTTCTTGGAGATGGGCTTGGAGATATGTGACGAGATCAGATGACAGCGAGTGAAAGGCATCGAGGAGTGCTGACGGAGTATGAGGATGGGGCCCGGGCGTCGGCTTGGCGGTCACGGCTTCTGCCGAAACACCATGATGGCCATACGTCACTTGTTGACGCTCGATTCCCCAACATCTAGTGCCGAAGTACGCAGCGCGTCAATGCCACTCGCATCGTACATCGTCACCAAACCATCTCTTAGATGACGCAGGCGTGGAACAGGATGCGCAACAATCGCTCGCAAGACTATGCTCCGCTCCCAATGAGCGAAAAGGAGCCTCTCTCAAACAGATCCCGACGCGAACAGCGACCGAAGGGCTTTGGGCGCCGGGTCTTACTTGTGGTTGGCGCATGTGTGGTCTTGTACTGCGTCCATGGGTACGAAGCACCAACATGCTGGAGCACGCAAAGCTGACACTCGCCAGTCTCTTCACGTTCTCTCGTCCCAAGAAGTCGTGCGACACCATCGACGAAGGCTACCGATGTAGTCCGAAGAAATCGCACTTCTGGGGGCAATACTCGCTTTGGTACTCGGTCCCCTCAGACATCGACGTCGCGCCTCCCAAGGGCTGTGAAGTCACCTTTGCGAACGTTCTCTCCCGCCACGGCGGTCGCGACCCAACGCTGGGCAAATCGATCGCGTACCACATCCTCCTAGCCGAAATTCAGAACACGACTACATCGTACCCGAAGGAATTCGAGTTCCTTAAGGATTATGACTATACTCTGGGTGCGGATGAGTTGACAGATGCTGGAAGGCAGGAGATGGTCAACTCTGGGGCCCACTTCTACCAACGGTACCAGAAGCTGATCGACGGGAACGTACCTTTTGTGCGGTCAGGGGGCCAGCATCGCGTAGTCGAATCTGCGGAGAAGTGGCTTATGGGTGTTGCGCAGTCGCTGAAAGAGGAGCCGCGAAACATCGACGTGGTGATCCCAGAAGGGCCGACGTGGAACAACACCCTCTCCCACGACGTCTGTCCCGCCTTCGAAGGCGGCCCACATCACGGTCTCGGACTCAGGGCGCAGCAGGTCTGGGCCGACAAGTTCGTCCCACCCATCCAAGAACGCATCAACTCAGCTCTCGGAACGAACCTCAGCGCGACGTCTATAATCTACCTGATGGATATGTGTCCATTCGACACACTAGCACACCCGTCTGCAAAGCTGTCCGACTTCTGCAAGATCTTCAAGGTGAAGGAATGGCGCGAGTATGACTACTTCCAGACGCTGGGCAAGTACTACGGATACAGCGTCGGCAACCCGCTCGGTCCCACGCAGGGCGTCGGCTACGTCAACGAGCTGTTGGCGCGTCTGACTAACAAGCCTGTCGAGGACAGCACCAACACGAACCGCACGCTCGACTCCGACCCCAAGACGTTCCCGCTCGACCGCAAGGTGTACGCCGACTTCAGCCACGACAACGACATCAGCGGTGTTTTGGCTGCGCTCGGACTTTACAACAAGACGAAGCCGCTGTCCAACACCACCATCGAGGATACAAAGAAGACACATGGCTATTCAGCAGCGTGGAGTGTACCTTTCGCCGCCCGTCTCTACGTTGAGAAGCTGCAGTGCAGGCATGCGAAGGAAGAGTCGGTCCGTGTCATTGTGAACGACCGCGTGCACCCGTTGGAGTTTTGCGGCGGCGACAAGTTTGGAAGGTGTACGTTGAGTAAATTCGTAGAGAGCCAGAGCTTTGCGAGGGCTGGTGGCCTTTGGGACCAGTGTTACGAGTAGACGATTGTTCTCACGCGACTTTCATACTATCATCTAGCATTCAGCATCGCATCATGAGCATTTACGTGGTTTATCATTAGAGAAAGACATCTGATCATGGTCAAGACAATGGCTTTCATCTCAACAATCCGAAACACCTTTGTTCCGGCAGCCATGCTTTCATCAACGTCTCGCTTGCCGCACATGTCCGAGCTATCAGACACCAACAAGTACACTAACAAACTTCGTAGCTGGCAACTTATTTGCTGTCGCATCACGAAAATGGAGGAAACAGCAAGTTCGACAACAGTGCGAATGCGCCTAGCCAACCGACGTCCTAGCGAAAGGATCGCAATGATCGACCTGATTACAGACATGATGGGCCTAAAGATCAGGATACCAAAGCGCATATGGAATGAGTACCAACCCGACGTACTGCCCGAGCGTGACAGCCTTACAGACAAAACGCGACTGAGTATTAGAATACCGGCACATATATGGAACGCCTACTCTCCGCCAACCCAGCTACACAAAACAAAGAACCTACCACGAAAGCTGACCCTCAAGTTACGATGTCTATTATTACCCCCGTCCAACCAGATCCGCGAAGCAAAGCGCAGGAATACGAAAGACGCAGGAAATGGTGTGAAGTCTTGCAAGGTAAAGCTATTCCGCTTCCATTACGGCGGACCGAAGAGACAAAGGAAGGGAAAGTGGCAGAATGAGATAACATATGAGCAGCCGTGTTTGAAGGCGACGTGTAAGAGTTGTTGGAGGTGGCATGGGCATCTTATGCGGGAAGAAAAGCTGATGCTCGGGTAGGTATTGATGGGATCTGGAATTTGGCGGGAAGATGGATGCTGCATTGCTGTAGTCTTTGGTGGGTCGTGGAAACAAGTAAAGAACTGGCTGAAAAGCGCGAGGGACTGATAGACTGCTCGTTCTCCCGGCGCATGTGAGCCAAAGTCCGGCTTCGTTACACCAACACTAATTTCTCATACCCTTCTCGTTTGGGTGAGGACGTAACTGCATACAACTTGGAGTGCCATCCGCAGATGCGGGTTTGAGGCGATGAACAGGGATCGACACCGTTTTATGGCAATTTGTGGCATTTCCATTGACTGGGAGCGGAACATGTATTGACGATCCGGCCGCGTGCAGCGCTGTAGAGACAGCCTTCACGGCTACCGTAGCAAGCACCTGCAGGAGCCACCTGGGCAGTCGCGCACCATAGTACGTGACATACACCTGCAGCAAGACGATATGTCAACGGTGGTACGATATACCCCAAGTAATGCTTAGCATCATCCAAGCTATACCCAGCTGCATGGCGACGGGCAACACCCGCTCTGGCGGCAGGTAACGGTTGACGTCACGACCTCCTTCCGTGGTGATACATGTGCTCCCCAAATGCAACCACCTTCCTTCATCTCACATTCAGCATTACCATCGGCCCGTTCGCTGTCACTTTTGCAGTCGTTCCCGGTAACCCATTTGCAGCAACAGTTGCGGTCCGGAAGTCCTCGGTCGCAGGACTCATGCGTTCAGCCACAACCATCGGGATTGCGCGCATGGCTGGCCGACTGCGCGGTGTCAACGCAACGCATCGCGACAGCCAGCATGCGCCGCCATATGTAATCAACGACCTGTCACAATGACGGCCTGGGCTGACTTTGTTCGCGGCCAGACCTGTCAGCGACGCCATCGTACCTGGTGTTTGCCTGTCCGCTGAGAAGCCGGAACGCCTAGTGAAGTGTGCAGAAGCTCAGCTGGATACGAGGCATCTTCCCAGCACGAAGTAGCCCGCTTCTGGGGGGCATTCAGTAAGAGGTATCATAAACGTCTTTGCGATGCTTTGTATTGGCAAGATGCGAACATTATGCTTTTGTCCAGGGCTCTCGTCGCGATTGAGTCAATAGCTTTGCGTTCGCGCCTTCGAAGTTCCGACCACCTTCCGCGTCTTCAGTACCCGATCATCCCAACGAAGCCACAGAAGCAAGCCGCACCGCAACACCCAACCCGGCCACGGTTCCCTTGATTCCCGGCTGCGTTCGCGTGGACCTCATCGGCACGCGCCTCTTGTTCCGACTATGCAGCGCCCGGAGATACTCGCTTCAACAACGCTATCCTGTGTACGAGCTGGCGGGGTACAAGGATATGGCTTTGTGTAGAGTTCGGTATGAGGTGGGGTGCGACGTTGACTCGAAGCTTGCGGTAAGCCAACGGCGATCATGGCGGTGATGTGCCTCTAGCGCTTCTGCTAACCTCTATCTAGCCTCCACATTGATTATCTACAGTATCCCCGCATTGCGGAGATTGGATGGCAGAGCAGACGCACGCTGCGAATCCCATGAACTATCGGATTGGTACTACCTTTGCTGGCTTCGGCTTCCGCGGGGTGCGCCTTTTGCCCACATCAAGCACACAACAGCAAACGAACCCGACCTTGAACAAATAGAACTAGCAACGGAAGTTCGCGTCGAGGCATTGCGATCGTCTGTCGGAGCCATTGCCAGAACGTCCTGCACCTCAGACGGGCGCCCTGGGCCCTAGCCGGCATACCCTCCCTCTACCAGCGAGCACCATGCGGGTTTCAGCGCGGTCAATCTACGTTATACTCGATTCGGCAAGATCCCATCTGGAGATCTTGATGCGGAAGAGCGCCCTGCGTCTGTCATTCGCCTGCTTCGCTCTGACAGCCGCTCGCGTGCCCCCATGCAATGCCACAACAGAGTTGCGCGACGATGGTCGGAGAACTACAGGGACCGTTAGCTATCTTTGTCGGGTCCCCAGTTGACCGTAGACCGGTGTACGCAAAAGCAATGCCGGTACACGATGCCCGCTGATCCTGTTTGGTCTAGCGAAAGAAGAAATGAAGATGGATAAGAGTACGTCCATTGCGCACAAAGGTCAATTCCGGTAGTATAGGATCGTAGCACTGGTTTAAGTACCGTGCCGACAGCATATCTGCACCGAGTCCTCAATTGACTGATAGCACTCCAGAGCTTCCATTGCTCGTACTGCAACTACATCAGCTCTATTGTCTCTGGTCCGAGCGACTGCAACGCAAAATGGCTTCGTTCGCCTACGCATTCTTGCTGGCAATCGGTCTGCTAGTAGCAAAGGTAGTGCAGCGAAGATATCACTTCCGCAACCCAGTACTGACGACCACAGTTTCTCTATGTTGGTCTTACCTGTCGGACGAAGCATTTGCCAGGCCCTTGGTATACTCGATTCACACATTATCGCTTGAAGCGCGCGGTCGTAACAGGGCAGCGCATCTTCTACATCGACTCTCTCCACGAGCAATATGGACCCATTGTACGACTATCGCCTAATGAGGTTGCCGTTGCCGACTTGGATGCCTTCAAAGAGATTCACAAGATTGGCACCAAGTATATGAAGAGCGAATGGTACCTCCGCCTAGCAAACTTCCCCAAGGCCGGAGTGTTCACCATGCTTGATCCACGCGAGCATGGGCCGCGGAGGAAGTTGTTGTCGAGATCTTTCAGCAGGACGTACCTTGTCGAGCATTGGGAGTCTGTCGTCAGGGACAAGGCGCTCATGGCTGTTACAAAGATCAAGGCGGATGCTACACAAGCGACAGCCGATGTGTACAACTGGTGGATGCTTCTCGCCTCGGACGTCAGCGCTCACCTCGCATTTGGCGACTCATTCAACATGCTGGAATCGGGAGAGGTATGAAGATACGACTACGCATGCCACATCAGAGCTGACAGATCGTAGCAAAACCAATTCATGCGCGTGCTGAAGAAGCTGACAATGGGAGCTGGCATCATGGTCGAGATGCCGTTCCTCCGCCTCCTGCGCTTCGTACCAATTCCAGCGATCCAAGAGATGTTCAACGCAAACGAGTTCATTCTCGCCGGCGCAGGCAAAGCCGTCGAAACAGCACGATCGCGCACCGGCGAAAACAACATCTTCGCAAAGGTCATCGAGGACTGCGAGAAGGAAGGAGAGGGCCACATTGACGACATGGACGTCAGAATCGAAGCCATGAACGTCATCATTGCAGGCACAGATACGACAGGCGTGACCCTGACGTACCTTACATGGGCGGTGCTCCAACGACCTGAGCTGCAAGCGGCGCTTGAGGCTGAGACCGCGGCGCTAGCGCATGACTTTACCGAAAACGATCTCATCAAACTTCCGCTGCTCAACGCCGTTATTGAAGAAACGCTCCGACTTTATGGTGCGGCGCCAAGTAGTCTGCCGAGAGTGGTACCTCAAGGTGGCACCAAGTTCGCTGGTCATTACATCCCACAAGGCGTCACGGTCGACACGCAAGCCTACACTTTGCATCGCGACCCCAAGATTTGGAGCGACCCTCTGACGTGAGTCGTGCCTTTGCACTTCATCACATCGCGCAATAGCAAGCTGACCCCCGGTAGTTTCAACCCACAGCGCTGGATCGCCGACAAGGAAATGGTGCCTGAAGCGCAATCGCCTGAGGCGAAACTCGCGTTCCATCCCTTCGGCGCTGGCGCGCGCTCGTGTATCGGTATTCATCTTGCCCGCATGGAACTAAGATATGCGACTGCGTTCTTCTTCCGCGAGTGCCGTGGTATTCGGTTGGCGCCCAGCACGACACCCGAGAGTATGGAGTTTGAGGTAAGTCATGCCGTTTGTGGGGGGTATGAAATATGTAAGCTAATGTGTGGTATTAGAACTTCTTCCTCATCGCGCCGAAGGCGCATCGTTGTGAGATCACTTATAACCGGGGGGGTTAGTAGAGACACAACGTTTCACAACGGCATGATAGTGTAGACTGTTTGTAATGTTGAATCAGATTGACATTATGGAAAGCCTCTAAGAGCGCAGTGTTCGTGTTCGTATCCGTGATCGCGATTAACGTCACTACGGTGCGCCTAACGCCATGCCATGCCATGTATCCCTCGCCATTCCCCCACTCCCTCATATTTCCCGCCATCCATCACGTAGCCACACCGTACTGAGTGAAAGTAAGTCAGTGGAATGATGGAAGCTAGCAGAGTAGCTATAACTTACATGTAAGGCATACTCTACAAAACAGTGCAAACGACACCATGCTCCCTCGCCTTGTCCATCTTGACGAGCTTCTTGTTGTACTGCTCTTGTGTCTCTTCTTCGTCCGTGTGGGCAGCAGCGGCGATGGAAGCGGCGGCGGCGTTAACAGCGGCGGCGTCAAGAGCGACGGCGTCAACAGCGGCGGTGTCAGCAGCATAGAGGACGGCACGCGGTGGGTACGCGAGGCCGTCGTGCAGAGGGTGCATGCAGTGGCCTTCTGTGTCGACCATACCGGCTGAGGCAACTGCGGCGGCGGCGGGGGCGGCGTGGTTGATCGTGGTTGAATCGGTAGGGTTGGTAGGGTTGACAGTAACGGGCGCGGCGACGGCGGCGCTGGCGGCGGCCGCGATGAGGAGGATGGTTGGGGTGTGCATTTTTGTGGTTGTTGTTGGTGGTTGGGTTTGGGTAGTTACGTTGAGTTGGTTTGGGGTGAGGCAGGTAGCTTGCAGTATCTTTGATTTGAGGGTTTGGGGTGAAGGAGAGATGGAGGAAGGAAATGGAAAGTGAGATGATATACACGGCAAGTTGTGTGGGAGGCGCTAAGCTATTTTTCCCCAGCTTGGAAGCGGCGAGGGTGCGCGGTCAGAAGGATATTGGGAAGTGTGGGGATGAGTGAGTGGGGATGGGAGGTACGATGGTACGATGGTACCGCATGGGGCAGGCTGGTGCGGTGGCTATGGGAGCCATTCAGAGTGATGGTGTTGCGGATGGGTGTGGTGAGCGCTTTGCGAAAGGTGTGTGCAACTGTGGTATGCTAGACGGGGAAGTCTTCGGCGTGTATCCGCGATAGTCTGACTGATAGTGCTTTCCAGGTGTCGAGGTGTAGGCTTTTTGCGAGGTGTTGGGAACTACGGTCGCTACCAACCTGGCTTCATATATCACGAACATGACTGGGTAGCTGGCAAACGATCTTATCGGAAAACGTCCAGTCGCTTTACGCACCCATGGTATGCTTCACGGGTAGTAATGGGCGGCATGATTGCGATGGCCGCGCGGGTTGTATGCTCCAGGGGTAGAGATGTGGATTCGAATGGAGGGTAGGGGAACCACTGTCGCTGCCAGTCCTGGTATGGATCAACAGATACACTATTGGGCCGCTAGGAGATATCTCTTTCTACATGCTTCCAATTTGAAGAGCTTTGGTATGCATTGTGGGTGCAATAGATCGGAGTGGTTGAGCGAGACAACATTTGAAGGGTAGCGAAGAGGTTTTTGCAATTCGTGCCCACACACACCACCAGCAAAGTTCCGTGCGCGACCGCAGCAGAAAGTGAGAATATCTCTATATAAACCTATTCATCCTTCCCAACTACTTACAATATTCCATCTTCAACCCAAGACATCGACAACAAAGTATCTCAAAGTAAGAAATCGAAGCAAAATGCCTGCTCTCACCACATACGTAAGCAATTCATTTTACAACTGTTTCATGAAGTATGGACTAACATGCCTGGTTCCTTCTCAGACCACCCCGGCAGGTTTTACATATACCTCCGTCATCCTGCCTCCCCCCGGGTCCCCCATCCCCCAGATGACCGTCGCCGACGAGCCTTCCGAGGCTACCTGGCCCACGGTCACTGCCTGGTCCACCTCCGTCATCCTGCCCCCCAGCGGGTTTCCCATCCCCATGGTCACCGTGGCCGACGAGCCTTCCGAGGCTACCACCACCGCTGCCGCCGCCGCTGTCACCGAGGACAGCACTGACGCTACCACAGTCATTGTGGAGACGGATGAGGCTTGGGAGGCCAAGCTCCTCGAGGACATGAAGGTCGCTGTAAGTCATACTTTGAATGGGCTTGACATGGTATGTGCTAACGGTCATCTAGTCGATGAAGCGGACCCAGCGCAAGGAGAACAAGAAGAGGTGCGGCAAGAAGCGGTGCCCTCCTTGCGCTATGATGTAGGCTGTCTGCGTTGGCGAGCTAGGGCTGGTTGGGAGGGATGATGGAAGGAGGGCCCGTTATTTGTCAGATTTCTTTTGTGATTCCTGAATTCATATCTATTGTACCACTGAGAAGCTTCTTCTACATTACTGATACCGTGAGCTTGATTGTTGGTGAAGGTGAAGGTTGTGGCCACCGGCCGGGATGCCAGTTCGCCAAAAACATGGCCCCGCGAAGCTAGCGTCGCTTACTAATGTTGCTGCCTGCTATTGTGCACCTGGCTTGCAACACCTCCGGCGGTCACTCCGCATCAAGCCATGGCAAAGCTCACTGATCTATCCAACGAACTGCTTTACTCCATCGTCGCACATCTCGAAACAGGTCACTGGTCGGATGTCAGAGCACTATGGCGATTATGCAAAACATCCCGCGCGCTGGCAGCTGTTGCGCAACCCGCGCTCTACACTTGCGTGGTACTAGGACAGTCGATGCCCGAGACCATGAGATCTCTGGAGCTCTTCTTGCGGACCTGTGTCGGACGCCCCAAGCTCGCAAAGAAGACGCGATCGCTCACTTTACATTACCATCGACCAGCCCCGTACGAAGGACCTAACCTTATGCGCCATCCCACTTTCGGTGAATTCTCGAAATTATGGGCAGTTCAGAATTTCGATAGCGAACGAAACGTGTTGTATCAGACGCTTGTGTTATACGCACTTCTTTGTCTGCCCAATCTACGGCATCTTCGTATGGATACACACAATCTGCCTCCTCGCGGACTGCTGCAAGGGATGCATGCGATGAGAGCTTCGAGTGACGCCTTCCTCGCTAGGTTGGAGACGTTCCATTTGTAAGTCTCACCAATTTCTGCGCATGTCGCTCTCGCTCAACAAGCTGCAGGCACAAGCATTTCGATAACGAGCCAATCAACATAGTTGACTACATCCCGCTCCTTCGATACCCATTGTTCAGTTCATTCTCTACGGAGATCGAAGTATCGGACGGTAATGATGTTCATCCTGCCACGAACTTACTCACACCATCGGCGATTGAATTGTGGTGGAGTCTTGGGCCACTCGCTACAATGCGACAAGCTCTAGAGGCATGTCCTCGCTTGGAAACATTCAAGTTCGTCATCCCAGATGACAATCGTCATGGGGGTATGTTGCCAGACGACATAGGGAGCCAACCCCTCGTCACGCCACGAGATCTGGGGATCGCGCTACTGGAAAAGCATAAAGCAACTCTAAAGACCGTGGAATTGCACTTCAACAGCTATTACGATATGCGCAGTGCGGAGTTTCAAGAAGATATGGAATTGTACGGCAAAGACTCATACCACTACGTGTACCCCTCGTTCCGGGATTTTGAGGTGCTATCGCACATAACGATCCAGTTCGAGAAACTTACCAATCTCTGTCACTTACCGGCGTCGTTGAAATACCTAAAGTTGCAGGGTTGCCATTTCGACGAAAACTTGAATGAGGATTGCCTTCGCGGTATGCTAAAGCTGAAGGACACATGGTGCCCGCTGATCGAGCAGCTGCATCTTCAAGGCTTTAATGTATCAGAAGCCATCGGCATGATCCGGGAAGTTGCGAAATCCTTGGATTTGCGGATGTCTGAGTTCCTTGGCAGAGGTCTTGTCTGGTTCCCGAACCTCTGATCTGACATGGAGATTCGTTGTGACATTTTTTGAGGGTGCATAGCTTCATGGTTGTTGCTGATATCTGGGATGTACTAAGGAAATATATAGGGGCCTAGAGCGAGCACAAGGGTTTCATAAGATACAGCTCTATTACGATTATATATCGTGTTGTGTAATCGCGACTGTGCTTGGGTTTAAGCATTAAGATTTCTTTAAGAACGAAGAATATGCGGATTGGTACATTGTATAAGCTTGTTATCTAGCGAGGAGAGTGTGTAATACGTTGTTGATTAAAAGGCGCGGTCTGGCCTCTTACTAGGTATACGAAAGGTCTTCGTTAAATTAGACAAATCGAACCGGAAATCGAAGACATAACACGAATATAACCTTGTCTACCGTGATTCTCATATCCAAGTGACTCCTGTGGCGCACAATTCGTATCTTCCAACTCGCCTTAGTACGTATGGTATATCCAAGCGTTTCAGAACAGCGGCTTCTGCTTCTGCTTTGTTGACCTGAAAGCTCATGTGCATATGCTCCATGCTCTTATACTTCTCAGATGGCGATGAGTTGACGGCTTTACCAGACCACCTCCCTTCTAGTTCGAACTCAGAGTGTTGATTCGACGTCTCTACGTCTAGATGGCACAGTTGCGGCGCCTTGCTCAGTATATCGAGAAAGAGCTGGCGGCTCCAGGGAGCTGTATCGCCACGGTCTTCCAATCTCAATTCACGCAGCGTCGAGCCTTGATGTTGTAATATTGTTGGTAGACAGTCCGGGATGCCGTCCCATACTAGGCGCAATCTTTTAAGTGCCAAAACATTTCGCAGAAACTCTTCCAATATTGACAGTGAACGTTCTAGATTTTTCTTATCGTGTTCGTTGCAGTTGAAGACGGCGAGAGTTAAAGACTCGAGCCGCGGGACATGGCTAGTCAACGATATTATCGGCAGCATCGATGAAGGATACATGTTCAAACGGCCAAGATCAAGAACGCGGAGCAGGGACCAATCCATGCATCGATGCCACATGTCCATGTGTTGCGCCGTGTAAGCATAGTCTCCGTGACTCTCGCTCATAACCCACTCCTCAAGCGTGGGAAATCGATCTCCTTCTTGCCAATGAAAGTTCAAAGGGCCATGCGCGCAGTCTTTGAGACCGCCAAGCGCTTTATCATGTATCCAATGCTTAACGTTTTCGAAGCTCAGATCAAGGTTCTTAATGCTGTTGCCGAGCGTCAGGTAACCTTTCAGAATTTAGAGCTCGCTGCGATTACTCTTTAGGTAAAGGTTTTGGTCTGGTCCATCGTAGTAAACGCTCAACCGGAGGGAATGAAGCTGCGTTGACGAGAGTGGACGTCGATCCAGAGGCTTCCCTTTCCGCTCGAGATTCGTCACGTGCAGGCGAGCCATAGGATGCATCGTGTGAAACAGGTGAAGGGTACCCTCTGGTAAAGGTATGATCGTGCCCCAGCTGTGCCAAGTTAGTATACGAGTATAACAACAAGGGTTCAGCCCTACCTCAAAGACTGCAGGCCAGTCGTCATCGTCAACACATCCTCCAGAACAGGCGCGAGCGCCTCATCGAAGAAGCCCGGATAGGAGGCACCGATCTCCAGATGTCTGACATGTCTCGCGATAGATCTATTCTCATCCAGTATGCATTGCAGCAGGTTCTTAGTTACTTTCTGCAACCAAAACCCTTCCTGGACAACAATAGCTTCATCCATGTACAGGTCGAGAGTTATGCCGGATTCAAGCTCGACGAGATCTAAATGGTCTTTTAGACGGATGCTACGGAAGAGTAAAATGTCGGATTCGTCGCGGCATACGCTGGACACACATCGCAGTGAATACAGCGATTTCGCATCGTCGTCGTGAAGCTATGCCGGCTTTAGTCAATTGCATGCTCGGGCAAATCATAAGGGTGCTTACTATCTCTACGATCATGCGAAATAATACCAATGGCAGCCCGAGCAGATCGTGCGCTGGCATGGCTGGGGTTGGGTCAGTCCGACCTCTTGTTTCCGATGAGGGAGATGATCATCAACGGTGAAATGACACCGCTATTCGGGGGCGGCATTCAATGCATGAGATGAGAACAATAAGCTGATACGCGCCTTGAAGATATTGGTTGCTGTTGTGGGCTGAGGCACGCGACGTGTAGGAGGCGCGAGAGCTGACCGTTCATCTCGCGCTAGTCCTGGTCTAGTAAAGCGTTGAGCCTAAAAGCGGGGATCCACAAACTGGTCTCGCCCGCAGCCTTCCTACCTGCGCTCCCTTCATCACGACTGCCAGCCTCGACATTCAGCATGCGCTGCTCTCAGTACTCAACAGGATGACTATCGCAACCCCTGTGTTTATCGTGTTGCGCGTTCGTTATATAAGTTATGCGACTACACCCCGTTTTTTGGAGACGCTCACCTTATGAGTGGCCTCTGATCCGATCTTCCCGGTGGCCAGATCCGTTCCGATCACGAACCACTCCCCCGGCCCGCCATGCGATGCCTCGATCTTCCCACGGACCACTGTGTGTCTGATTGCATTTACATCATGCATCCAATTTCGATTGGGCTATGGTTGCATGATACAGCAATATGAACTTTACAGTATACAGAGATCCCTTTGTAAAACTCCAACGCCGAGATCGAGTGAGATCTTCCCACGGACCACTCATGTGTCTGACCGCATCTACGTTATGCATCTGTTCTCAATTTGGCCATCGTTGCATGATGCACTAGCATAGACTTTACTGTATGCAGAGATCCCTTTGAAGAAGTTCAATGCCGAGATCGAGTGAACTCTTCAGATATCCTCCCTTCGAAAGGGTCAGGAGTTCACCGTTCGGAAGGCTTGAGTGGCTTGCGTCCGTTGGAAGGGCGTAGAACCAGACAATCAACATTGTGATGTTGTCGAGGTTGCAACGACTGTATTTGAAGCCCCCATCATGACTCGACAAAGCAGTATTTTCGCGTACTCTACCTACCATTGAACTATCCATATTCGCAAGGCGCGTTTTTCGCTCAGTATGGCTTTCACAATCGAAACAGGACTGCAGGTCTGGACGATCGCTTTATCAGTTAGCTCGATCGCTTTGTCTACCATCGCGGTCATCTTACGTCTTGTGGCCAAGTACATCCGCAAACGAATCGACGCCAGCGACTACTGCATTATAGCAGCTTTGGTACTACATCCTCATCCTTTCATCTTCGTACTGCATCTGGATGCATCGTATCGGCCACGTCGATAAGACATACATTATGTAGAGCAGAGACGCTGACCGGATTTGACAGGTGTTTAACCTAGCAACAAACTGCAACCACTTATATCTCGTCTTCCATGCAGGCTATGGCCTCGAACTTACGACACTCCTACAGCGTTTTGGTATTCTCAACATGCGCATCCTCTCCAAAGGCACATTAGTCGCGGTGTGCACTTGGCATGTCACTGCCTGCCTGTCCAAGCTCTCGGTCCTGCTCATGTACACTTCGATCATACCCAACGCATCCATGCGAGTAATATGTCGCTACTTCGGCGCGACGATCGTCGTATGGACAGTGGCAGATCTGATTGCAGTGTTGTCGATTTGCAGACCGTTCAACATGGCATGGATCAACGCAGACAAATGCCCTAACCAGACTCTGTTCTATTTAATCATGGGCTTACTGAACTTGATCATTGATACAATCATCATCGCACTTCCGATGCCGTATCTGATCCGCCTACGAACGTCATGGCGTAAGAAGATCGTTGCAATTGTCTTGCTAGGGATGGGGATAATGTACGTATACCAGACAGACTTCCATTGCCTGCAAGATTCTAACACGAACCCTAGGACCTGGGCCATTACTATTTATCGCCAGAAGTGCTTGTGGGGGCTGAACTGGCGAAAGGTCAATCGATACTCGGATATGGCCATCGCCATGTTCCTAGGTGGCCTGGAGTGCGCAGTCATTATCGTTGTGGCTTGCATACCGCTCATGCGTCCTCTATTTTCGAGAAGTCAGGCTCGCGGCCCACCCAACGTACATCACCATGGTGACAACCCCAACGCAGGGGCGCATCTGGAGAAAGGGAACAAGAAGGCGCCAGCCAAGCTTCCTCGATTGCTCGACCCGCCGTCCTGGTTCGACAATGAGGATGATGTCGATGCGCAGGTCGAGCTACAAGCAAAGAAGGATGTGCAGATGACGGATGCGCAGTCTTCTAGTTCCTCTGACATCTCGCGGGCCCCAGGCGCCACTAAAGATACTGTCGTGGATAGGAAGACATGGGCAGCGCCAGCATGCTGGCAGGCACCTGAGGAATGTCGTAAGCAGAGTCCGCACGAGCCACCTATTGTGCATGCAGATGCGCTTTGATGCGACCAGGAGGATTGCTCGCCAGATTGTACCAACACCGATTTTTACTGTTGTTCTCAATTCAATAAAAGCGTGTCATATCAAAGAGACCATTTGGTCGCACCATTGCTCGTGAAAAAGCTGTGCGGGCTGTGGTCGTTGATAGGATGTTCGTGCCGTGAATACATCAAACCTCGTGCAGCAGGCGCAACACGATAGCACCTGATGAACACGTCACTCATCCTAATTCTGGAGGAGATACCATTAGGCGGGATAACTTCTAGAGGCAGATTCGCGGGTGGTTGTCAACTTGTGGCGACATGGTGGTCGCACGTGTTTGCGCGTCGCGTGTTTTACGGGTAGGCATGTGGCGGCGTTGGCGGGTCGCGGGAACGGGAACCCCGACGGGGCCCGCCGCCAGTGCACCCAACGCTGAACGACACACCAACGTACAGCGACGCAATCCCATACGTCCCTCATGCCCTTCGCTCGTGATTTTAGCATGCGGGAATCGCATGGAAGCCTTGCAATACTTCTCAGAACGCGTTTTGGAGGCTCATCGATCGTCATCGCTGCTCGCGGACCAGCACGTCGTCACATCCTCTCCACCATGGCTGGCACCAGCAGACACAAGAATTGGATTAGGGGAATCTGCCAGAGATACGCAACGACTTCCAGCCATGTACAAACCGCTTAGCTATCTTCCACGAACGTTCAAGGTACTTTCCAAGGTTGGCATCCCCTCTACATAGGTGCCGCTGCCCGAGACGCCACACCCCCAGTCCTTAGCTCCCACGACGAAGGCGATATACGATGGTCAGCGGGCCGCGGCCAATACTGAATGACTACTGTATGTCGCATCACCGAACCCAAATAGGATCAAGCTGACGCGTGCCTATAGCAGCCCGTTGGCACACGAAAACCTCCGCCGTCTCCGCCGTTGCATATCACGAAACCTTGATACCAAATACCAGGCCGCCTGTATTACGCTACTGAGATATCACGGGAATCTGGATCTGAAATCAAGCCCAGAACCCGCCTGCGTGGAGGCCTTCGATCGTGCCCCTGAACCCAACGACCTCTCCAGCGTCTATGCCCAGCTCCTCTGGGCTCACAAACTCCTCGGTGACCTCCCAAGGATCGCAAGCCTCGCCATACTTGAACTGGAGCGCCAGTTCATTGCCCACATCGCCGTAAAGCCTGGCCGCCGTCTCCATACTGAGCTCAGCAAAGACACAGCTCTTGCCAGTGACTTCCGACCATACATCGACCATCTCCTGGTATGTCATCTTTTCGAGCGCAACATTCGCGTATCTACCATAAGCCTTGCCGCCAGTAGCAAGGACTTGGCGGACCCAAATGCCGGGGTTGACTGTCATATCGCCGGCTACAAGAACTTTGGCGTCGGGCTTCGTGGGCATCGCTTGGATGTATTTGCCGGCACCGGGCTATGTCAGATGTCAGCTGAATGTGCTATACACCGAGGACTGAGCCAGACTCACGTATTCAAAGGGCTTGCAGAGTGGGAAGAAAGCCATGTTCTGCGGATAGTATCCGAAGTACAGGTAAGTCGTGATGGCGGCAAGTTGCGGCAATTCGGCCTTGATGCGCGCGTCCACGTTCGCCTTGTAGTCCATGTGCGGCGCTTCCATCTTACCCCAGAACCGACGCTTCGCGCTTGGGCAAGTCGACCAAATGTAGTGTTCGACTGACCGTGTGGCTGCGGCAGCCCGAGCGAGGTTCATGCCATGTCGCTCTTCGATCTCGCCACACTCGTTCTGGCTCTTGCCCCGGAAGAGCGCTTCCCACCAATTTGTGACCGCAAAGACGGCATTTGCGCCATCGAAGGCGGCTCGCAACGATGCCTCGTCTTCGAAATCGGCTTTTACGATCTCAATACCCTCCGCGGCGAGTTTCTTTGCTGCATCGCTGTCCGGATTTCGGGTGATCGCTCTGACTGTCCACCCGGGCGTCTTGTTCATGATGTTGACTACTCCACCACCTTGGCTTCCTGTCGCACCCGTCACAGCGATGATCTTGTTGCCCCGGTTCGGCCAGTCGTGGATTGTACCTGGCAAACCGCTCTTCTCTCCGTGCACCATAGCAAACCATGGCTCGAAGACAGTCTCGCTGCGCTTCGAGAAAGCTCCATTCTTGTAACCCGGATGTCCCCATTCCGTCAGTCTGTCGTGCGCTATCTCGACAACTTGCCCTGTTCTCGAATTATTCTCGTCATTCAGAAACAGATCGTAACCGTCGAAGAGGGTCGATTGCAGCATCATGTGTTCGGGATGGAAGGCTTTGCTGAAGCCAGGCATGACTGGAGTTTCTATCGGACCAAGCATCAGACAGTTGATGGAGATGTTGTCTTTGGCCAGCAGAACAGGTCCGGTTGTCTTCGTCCACATTGCTGTCGCTGCTTCCGCAGAGCAATATTCTGGAAAGCTGTGGCATGGATATATGCCCAGCATGCTGCCTGTGATGATGATCTTGCCACCTTTGCCCCCTGGATTGTGGCGCATGTAGTGTGTTGCCAGCGTTGTACCGTACATCCTTCCTTTCACAACGACATCGGTACAGCTGGTATCTGGTTCGGGAGGTAAGTCGTCGATGGGCGCATCGCGGCGGTTGAGGTTGAACACGGATCCACGATCAGGGAAGCCCGCATTCGCGATCAGAACGTCAAGGCGACCCCATTTGTTCCAGGTGGTCTGGAAGAGGATGGTTTGCGAGGCGTATGAGCTGACGTCGCATTGAACAAAGATGACCGAGTCTCCTGTCGCATCGATTGACGCGGCAACTTCTTTCCCTTCGCTTTCACGTCGACCACAAATCGCGACACGGTAGCCTCCCGCCTGTAATCGGGCTGCTAGCCAGGAACCGATCCCACTCTGTTGGAATCTGTCAGCAAGCTCGAATCAACTGCGGTAATGTGATGGGACGAACCGTGCCACCGGTGATGATGGCGACTTTGCGCTCATCTTGCGAAATGTAACCCATGGTGTTAACGATCAGTATCCGGCGGACGGCCTGCGGCGCATCTTGGAAGGATGAGCCATCATATGTAACAAGTAATGGCAAGGCCATGGGTGGATACGAATTTGGCTATATGCATGCGCAATAGTTCCTGGTCCCCATCTTTGTCCCGCACTGGGACACGGCACCTTTCACCCTGCACTGATAGTAGCTACTCCGCGTCCTTCGAAAAGGAGCAGTTGCTTTTTCCTATCATTTCTCCGAGCCGTTGGCCGAAGGATTCGGCAGCTGCAGTAGTTGGCGCGTCTAGCGAAGTCGCATTGCCGTGCGGCCTGAACGTTGGCGGATATCCGGGATTCACGGTCCCCATATGTCATTTCCGTACAAGGTCCAGTGTGCATTCTTCGCTCGTTCTGTCGATGGATCCTCAGACAATCCAGGCTAATCAGATGTTCGCCAACCTGCTGCAAAATATATATCAGGCTGCGACGAAGATGTATGGCCAGCTGGAAGCTTGCAGGCGAAATCCACGACGCGGTTCGCCCGCATCCGCGCTAGCTTGGCATTGCGGCACAGAATCCAACCAGCTACTGGAAAGCAGGTGGGGGCACGCTGTGTGTGGGGCAACTCCAACGTAACTTCACGTAGATATGTACAGGGTATACGATCCTTCGTAAGGAAAGAGATCGCGTCACGCAATGTTTCCCGTCACAGCTTTCGCCGCGGGGCAGACTCTACGCCGGTCAAACGACACATGTGCAGCCACAATCTGATAGCCGCGGCAAGCAACCTTGAAACGTCGGGCCTGCGAAACTCTCTGAGATCCATTGGCGGCATAGTTAATTTGTACTCAAGATGTACAAACGCGCTGTTCACTGGCTCTCTTCAGATGCCGCCATCGCCCGAAGTCAGGCCGTCACGCAAGCACTAACAAACAGCAATATGCAAGGGTACAGTGTGCGATCTCATTCCTATTGGTCTTTAGGCCGCCGCTCACTGCTCTTAGTTATCAGTTTCCAACAAATGCTTGTTGAGCCAATGTGATCTTAACCGCTCTGAGGTTTCCAATACCTGTTAGTGGCTAGGAAGCACTTCCATCAATGTGTGTTTGCCATGTCAGGTCTGTGCATACATGCTTCTCCGATCATAGGGTTGCGGTATGGTGATTAGCTTCTGATCGGTAGTCTCCTATTGTCGGATTCGGCGATACCTATTCAAGCGTCCACGCTCCTCGGACATTTTCACGCCACAGTTCCACCAAGCGAATTTATCACGATGGCCAATATGATACCCATCGAGAATGGGCAACAAGTCGGCATCCTCGTGACTTCTTCCATCTCTGTTTTGATCGTCATTGTCGCCGTGGGTCTGCGGCTTGTAGCAAAAAGGATCGCGAACCGGATTGATTACAGTGACTATTGCATTCTTGCTGCCTTCGTATTTCGAAACGGGAAGCGAAATAGTTTGGAGCTAACATACCTGCTAGGTATGCAACACCGCGCTGCACGCTTGCTGCATCACGCTGGTCATATATGGCGGCTTTGGCTTCCATACCACGGACATATATCAGCGCTTTGGACCTGACACGGCGACATTCTTCTTCAAAGTAAGATCAGTCACTGTTCTCTCGCATTTGCAAGCTCTAACATGTTATGCCGTAGGGCATCATGTCATTTGCAATACTGTGGAATGCGACCGTGTGCTTCAGCAGATTGTCGGTCCTATTAATGTACACGGCACTGATACCAATGATATCCATGGTGCGATGGGCCCGTATTCTCGGCGCTGTGATCGTAGCCTGGAGCGTCGCCGACGTAATCGCCGCTCTCGCAATATGCCGGCCGCTGGCGAAGAACTGGAACTTCGCACTGCCCGGGACGTGTGGCGGTCAGCCAAACTTCTACTTCGCAATGGGTGTCATCAACCTCATCGCAGACGCCGTGATGATCTTCCTACCAATGCCATACTTGTACAAGCTGCGTATGGCGCGGCGCAGGAAGTTGGCTGCGATGGCTCTCCTCAGCATTGGAGTAGGGTGAGTACAC